GCTAGAGGCATCACACTTCCTGACTGCAAAGTATATTACAAAGTTAGAGTAATCAAAACAGTATGGTACTGGCCTAAAAATAGACACAGAGACCAATAGGATAGACTAAAGAGCCCAGGGGAAAAAACAAACATAATAGTCCATTTATTTTCAATGCAGGCACAAAGAATGCACAACAAGAAAGGATAGTCTCTTCAATAAATGGTGCTGGAAAAACTGAATATCCACATGCAAAAGAATGAAATAGGATCCTTATCTTACATTGTACACAACAATCAATTCAAAATGGATTAAAGAGCTAATGTAAGACCTGACACCATAAAACTCCTAGAAGAAAACATAAGGGGTAAGCACCTTGATATTTGTCTTGGGAATGATTTTTTGGATTTGCCACCAAAGGCAAAGGCTACAATGTAAAAAATAAACAAGTGGGACCACATCAAACAAAAAGATTTCTGCATAGGAAAGGAAATCATCAACAAAATAAAAAGGTGACCTATAGAATGGGAGAAAATACTTGCAAGCCATATTTCCAATAAAGAATTAATATCCAAAATATATAAAGAACTCTTACAACTCAGTAGCAAACAACAAACCAAACCCAAACAACCCAATTTAAAAAATGGGCAAAGGATCTTCGTAGACATTTTTCCAAAGAAGACATATAATGTCCAATAGGTATACGAAATGATGTTCAGCATTACTAATCATCAAATCAAAACCAAACTGGAGTATCACCTCACATCTGTTAGGATGTCTACTAACAAAAAGACAAGAGATAACAAAAGCTGGTGAGGATATGGAGAAAAGGGAACCGTCATCTACTGCTGGTGGGAATGTAAATTGGTGCAGGTAGTATGAAAAACAATATAGAGGTTCCTCAAAAATTAGAAATAAAACTACCGTATGATCTAGCAATTCCACTTCGGACAATATATCCAAAGCAAAAGGCTAAATCTTATGTAACGACAACTTCCAGCTGACCAACCACCTGGGGAGTTAGCTACCCAGTTATTGATTAGAGTTTAAATCATTATAAGGAGCAGAAGAAATTAGGAATGGCAACTCTGGCTTAGAGCTGTAACTGCCCTGGAATCCTTCCCTTGTGCCTAAACCCCAATAATTAAGCATGGTGTTTTTTTTCTTAGCTTGAATTTCCCAAAAAAGCAGAACTAGAAATAAGAATTCCTATGGAAATAATTTACTTCAAGAAGTGGGGAGCTGTGGAGAGGGAAAGAGGGTGGGTGCACTGAGTTGGTTACGCTCTGGACAATGGAGGCTTAGCCCAAGGATCATCTGGGGCATAGTGTGGAATGTTCCTCAGAGTTGCTTGTCCAATGCAGAAACGGGGTCTTTAGCCATTGCCTCCTAGCCCAAGGTCAAGGGCTGCCCCAGCAATTTGCACAAGGATGGGTGGCCTGGCTCCTGCAGACATCCCTCACAACAGGAGTGAAGATGCCCTCAGACACAGGACAAGAGATAAACGATGCATTTGAAGTGAGGGCTGTCAGGCCTCACCTGTGTACAGGTGGTTACTGTTGCAATGGCCAGAGCAAAAGCCATGAGACCAGGCAAAGATGATGTCTGCCCTACGTTCTTTCCTATTCATTTCATATATGACCTTGGAATCCTCTCAAGGCAGTGCTCCAGGAAGCTCTTATTAGTTGATGGCATTGGCATATGAAATAAACCAATTTGCTCTCTCTGGAATAGATGATCAAAACCAGTGTGGTAGCAAGTTACTACATGTGCCTATATGAATGTTATTAAACATAGTTGATTAATCTGATATTTTAAAACGTGTGTTTCCTATGTGGGTTCTCACAGGAGTCAGCATTTATTCTGGGAAGATAAACACTGCCCTCCTTACAGGACCAGGAAATGAAGCCAGGCCAAAGAAGGTGGTCCAACTTTAGAGACAGATGTTATCAGCAACTGAAGCTGCTACCTCCAACACTGCTCAGGAGCCCACAGATGCATTCTCAGGAAGGCACTGAATGGTAACATCTGAATGTGTTTAAAGAGTGAATGAGTCACTAAAATATTTAAATTAGTTTACCTAGTCAGTTACAATTTATTTCAAATCACTTAGTCTCAGGAAACTTTTCCCCCCAATGCAACTAATTCCTTGATTATTAAGAGAAATTATGCAGTTGATAAATCCTATCTGTGAAAGATAGCAGAGGCAGATGAATAACAAAATTGATTATTCAGAAGAACATCTGTTCTCCAAACAACTGTTAGGATTAAACAATTGTAGCTTAAATTACCATTGACGAGGTGTTTGACAAAGAATTCCTCTCTGGAGCAGTCTTAGGGTATAACATAAGAACATATGCTAGCAGATTACAAATTAATCAATAGCATAGTACAGAGGATAGAAGCCTTTTTGGAGACAGAGTTACATATTCAGCCACATGTGCTAACCTTGTGACTCTTGGAGAGGGCTCATGTCAGTAACCTAGTGTTTAAGACCCAGAGGAACCATGTGGTTTGTGGCAGGACCTGCTTATTGAGAGAAAGGAGTTGGATTCTCTTCCTTTACTGAATTATCCATACTGGATTTTTACAAATACCCGAATATTCTTCTAGAGCTCATTTGGCTTCTAGACCAAGTAGTTAGGGGGGAAAAGCAAATAATTTCTTACCATGATTTGGGCTTGGGGGCTCAGAGATAGCTTCTTAAATAAGATACACAAACCTCCAATGTACATCCAAGGAAATGAGACCAAACTCATCTTTCTGGTGAGAAAAAATGTGCGTGTGCAGTGGGAACAGCAGGGTTTGGTTGCCCAATGGGGTGTTACAACAGCTGAGGGCCCCATACAGCTATGATTAAGTAGGACCATTCTCTCTTTTTATTGTACAATTCCGAGGTAACTTGATGTAAATCCGGGGGAAGGAAATTCTGGGGCAAAAATACCTCTAAAAACTGAAATCAGTCAAAGGGAGAAACAAAGTTTAAAACCCGCTTATTGCTTACAAAACTGCAGTCCGGCCCATCTCTCTCTCCTTCTCCAGCAGCAACAAGACAGACTCTCCCCTTACCTCTCAGGTACAGATAAGCTCTCTGTTGCCCAGGTAATTACCCATTGATACGAAGATGAACTTCTCTCCACCCCTGAGGAATGAGGCAAATGCACTGAAGCCATACTTCTTTCCACCTCTGAAGTAGATGTACTAAGGTCAGGCGAGATATTCTGGAAATGTTACAATTTTACCCACACTTGATGATTTCAGTGCAGAAAAAACAGGACACGATTTAGAAATGCTTACAGGCAAGTGGAAAAAGGTGTAGAGAAGAAAGAACAGTCTTAGTCACTGGAGAATCTGTGCCAATGTGAACTGCTCGGGGGTTTTCTGGAATCGCTGCTCTTCTATAAATCAAAAGGCTCCGTGTGTTCAATTTGTCAGAAGCACACTCATTCTCAAACTCATTCACATATGTGCTGCTTCCCAGTTTAAATGTTTTATCATTTGATTCACTATTAAATGATTATTCTTCACAAGTTCTCTTAGGGATTAATTGTACAATTCTAGGAGTTAAAGGTAGACATAAATGAAAGTCAAATTTCCTAAGTTGCAATTGCTAATTAATTCGGCATAACTAAGTATTATCATGTGAAGATTGATGGAAACTTCAAAAACCAGACATTTTTTCCTTGCAGCTGTGATCAGTGAGTTTCGAGTAGCAGAGAAAAACACAATTTGCATATGCAAACCAGTATGGCTTGAACAATGTCTTAATTGTTGTTATTTAAATGAGGAGTAATTAATTAGCATTCATATAGCATGCAGGCTTTCAGTTAGTTAATTGTACACATCCAAATTTCAAAATAAAAACAATGTATATTGCCATTTGCCAACTTCAACATAAGCTGAGAATTCTTAAATTGAGAAGCTTGTCAGAGGGAATTCCCCTCTGGTAAGAACCATTCCTCTCACTATTTCTCCCACTATATATATTGAATACAGTAGAGAAATCTTTTTCCTTTTCTTTCTGAGATGAAATGGAGAATTTTAAGAAATAAGGTAAAAGTAACTACGAAGAGAAATCCTAAACACAGAAGATAGCAATGCAACACAACTTAAGAGTTCAGATTTCTGAGCCAAGTAACTTAGAATTCCTCACTTGCAAGACAACTTCCTCTCAGGGCTTGGTCTGACTGCCCCCTAGCTCATTGCCCAGAAGAGATGACTGGCAGTCCCCAACTCCCCAGTACAGTGCAGTTCATGGGGCTCTGGTTGTTGGCACCGCCCCGCTTCCTAAACGGGTCCCTGTGACACTTCGTTAGGAATCCTCAGGGAAGTAGCAACACCATGGGTTGATTTTCCCCCAGTCTTCCTACAGCAGAGGCTGGAAGGTTAAAAATTGCATCTCTTGGACCTCCCTTGCAGTTAGGCTTTTTAATATGATTTAGGTCTGCTGAGCAGAAACATGCTTGGAATTTGACTTTGAGGTGGGCAATGGACCTCCTTTCTGTATGAATCCTAGCAGAGGCAGAGTGCTTCTGGAACCAGACAGTGCGGAAGCAGCTCTTACCCTTCACTAGCACTGCAGCATAATTTAAACGTTGTTGGGAGAAGCACAGCCCGAAGTTTGTTTCTGCAGCCTTCTTAATGATGTAGGAATGTGTTTAATAGCCTGTGGTAAGAGTCTTTTCTTACTTAACACCAGCTAGCATGCTCTGTTCTCCGAAGCTGAACTTTTACCCTGCTGGTAATTAGTATCAGCATTCCCAAGAAAATGCGGGAATCTGGGATGCTGGTCTTATGTGCTTGGATTTGAAAGCAGCAAGGATAACCTGCCTTCAGAATATGGGCTACCTGTTTTGAACTATGCTAGAAAGCTTAATGAAAAAATAAAAGATGATAAGCTGAGGGTTTAAATTCTATTTTTAAGAAACAGAGAACCAAGGAACTTCCACTGATGCCCTAAAAAACATGTCTTATGTCTTGTAGCCACAGGCTGATGAATCTGAAGATCAGACATAGCCTACCTTTGTGGATTGCTGAATGACAGCAGATGTCCATTTCTGGCTCATGCAGTCTGTTTTGTAAAAATAGGGCAGTGTTGGGACAGAGCAGGTTCGAAAAAGGATGTTAGAACAGATTCAAGGCCAAATGAATCTTCCTCAGCAGCAGAAGCAGACTCCTCCCCTACCTCACTATGGAAAGCCCTCACCTGCGCCAGGGACCTGGCAGGGTCCTCTCCTCTCCCTGTCTCTTCATTCCTGATCTCTCCATTCGAGACAATGCCAGAGTAAGGCTCCCAGCAGGACTCAGGGGAGAAGTACGAAGTCTAACCTGGGAGGAGTAGGCTCACACATTTAATGAATTGCCAGAGTTTGCTAACTAATACCATCAGAAACCAGGCAAGCCTGGGTAGGAATGGATTCTAAAGGTCATACACGAGAAGAAAAGAACATAATTTTAGATTAGGCTGAATTTATCAACTAAGGGAATTTAGTGGAGATTCTGGATTCAGTGTTTAGCTCAAGTAACTGAGAATGGTTCTCAGCATTTAATGCTCGGCGGGTTGACTGAAATGTGGCCTCGGGAGGTTGCAGCCCACACTAAAAGACTCGGACAGATGCCAGACACACCTTGGCTTAGGCACATGAAGGAATTGAGACTTAAGGACATAGAAATGCCAGAGTGGATTTACCATGTGGGATTAACTCACCGCTTGCATTAATTTCCAATTGCTGCTCTAACAAACTGCCACAAACTTAGTTGTTAAAAGCAACACAAATGTGTTATGTTATGGTTCTAGAAGTCAGAAGTCCCCCAGTTGAGGTGCTGGCAGGGCTGCATTCCTTCTGAGTGCTCTGGGGGGGGGAATCTGTTCCTGCCTTTGCCAGCTCCTAGAAGCCACAGCATTCTTTCGTTCCTGTCTCCTTTCTCTGTCCTAAAGCCAGCAGCATAGCACCTGCAGATCCCCTCCCTCTCTGCTCCCCTCAGTCTGTGTATGCGTCTCCCTGCCCCCACTCCCCACACACGCAGTGTCACTTCTTCTCAGACTCTTCCCCTCCTGCTTCCCTCTGATAAGGACTCTCGTGATTACGGTAAGTCCACTTGGTAATCAGACAATCTTCCCTTATCAATATCCTTAACTTCCATCTTCAGAGTCCCTTTGCAGAGGCTTAGCAGAAACCTCTACTGGGTCCCCTGCATGAATTTCAATGATTTCACCACAATCCACCTGCTAAACGTGCCACATGTTTCCCTCCAACCTATGCAACTTAGGGAAATCAAGTCACACTGTGGGAAACTGAGGCTTGCCAGAGGTCATGTGGGCTCTTACTATGAATGGGGACAAGAATCTGGGTCTCTGATTTGCAGCCTAGTGTTCTTCTGGCAACAATCTACTGTTTACTAAAGGCATGAACAAAGCACAGGAAACGAGACTGCCTGGTCTGCCAATGATAAAACAGACCACAGGTAGCCCCCGGCCCTGTAAAAACCCCAGGTACACGTTTGCCCTGAGAGGAGAGAGGCAAGGAGCCCTTGTGGGTAGTGCATCCTCTGCTTCTCGGCTCACCAGGCTCATGTAATATGTGCAGTACATCTTGAACCAGCGGCTGTCACACTGATAACCAAGGGATTTGGTAAAACACCCTCGGGAATGCCTGAGGCACCTTGAAGGGAGCAGAGCTACAAATACCAGTGTGGATACATTTTACAATATCACGTTGAGAAGACAGAGTAAGTTTAAGTAAATTAAAGATGATACATACAATGTGATATAACTTAAAATGAACAAGTATAAAACAATGCTATATAGTTTTAAGAATATGTTCATATACGTATAGTTTAAGTATAAAGAAATGCCTACAGTTGATAACCCTCAAATTGAAGGGAGTGCTTCCCTTGGGTGGAAGCTGAGTGGGGAATAGAAGCTTAAAGGGACAAGGTGATAGGACAACAGTGCCTTGAATTCATGGCTGCAAATCCCACTGAGTCTGGCTCTTGCCAGACAGTTTTATTCAGTGCTCCAAGAGCCATTTTTGGTTTAGAGACCAGTAGGGGTGGTAAATCTTGGCCTTGGCCCAGCTATGTCTAGATAAATTGGAAATTTGCCCTGACAGTTTTTCCTCTATTGTGCAAGGCAGGGCCAAGTGATGTCACTGGGACATGCAGATGTCTCTATCCTCTTCTTTGATGAGTGCCAAGAAAAATCTCTGCAATCAAGTGATGCTCCTTCCCCCACCCAGACCCAGCAGTCTGCCATTTTTATACCTGGGGCCCCTGGCCGCATTCCCGGAAATGCAAGATACCCTTTTATTTAGAGAAATAATGTTCTGCTGCTTGGAGCCTCGAAAGAGGGGCCTGGTTTATCTCCAGGTTATTCAAAAAGCTGGTTTGTGTCTCAGTTCTGCTATGTGGACCTGTGGGGGAGTGCCAGGGTGCGGGGCACACACACAAACAGCAGGTTAATGAATTCCTTTGTACCTTCTTTTATTCATTTACACATTCATTCATCTCAGGAGCAAATATTTATTGAGCATCTACTCAGGGGCTACAGAAGCCGTGATTAAAGACACAGGTCCAGGCCTATGGTAAGTGTAGACATCAGAGGGGACAGGAAAGGGACAGAGAGCTACAGGACAACACTGTGCCAGCACAGCGATGAGAAGAGAGTGGGTGGGGAACCCAAGCAGGGAACCTACAGAATGGAGGCGCGTCCTTCAGGGTAAGTTTCAGAATAAGGGCTGCATGAGGGAATTCCTCAAGGATAAGTAGAAAATGGGCCGCAGCAGTTTTGGATCAAGCAGCAGGAGGAAAGCCACACGGCCAGGAGACCACGAGAGAGCCTGCCACACTTTGGAACCAGAGCCAGGCCTTTTTCTGATCAAGCTGTGTATGTCCTCAGTTTCCCCAGAGGCATGCACACGATAACGGCTCACGTGTCTGGAGTACCTCTTCCATGCTGAGCATTGTACTTGGAGTTTTATACACATTCATATTTAATCTCTGTAAAATGGAGTTTCACAGACAAGAAAGTGGTATATGACTTGGCCCAGATTTCCCTGCCTTCTAACATCTACTGCCTTTTACACTATTGTCACATGGGATTATAAGGTCCACCCCGCCTACTGCAGAGTTATTGTGACAATCAAATGATACAAAGGAGGTAGAGCACAGAGAACTTCATACATAAGGTTTTGTTTTTACAATACTGTCAAGAGGAAAACTAGAATTGGTTATAATGCACTAGTAGTTTATATTGTGTTTCTGGCTGGTGTGAGGCCAGTGATCCATGGTAGTAGAAAAAGGGGAAGGCAGTTTACGTTAAATTACATGTACTTTAATGCCCTCCCGCTCAAAGCAGAGGCTGCTCCTCCCTCATTTACTTATGTGCAAGATCGTCTTTAGAGGATATATTTTTATAGCTTTGTGCCCTGTATCTTGGGGACTTCAAGCTGTGTGAATTCCCACGTGTGCTTACTGTGTAGCAGTTCTAACACTGCTAGTACTGGAGGGCAAGGGATTGGAATTTCAGGAATTGGGAAGGATATTAGGACACAGTGCCTTCTAGATTCATGGTAATAAAATAAGACTTTTAAATGAGACCCAGAGTGGGTAAGAACATATATATGGCTGTGCTTAAAGAATATGGCCCAAAAGTTATACTATAAGCAAGACTAACTTCAAAATTTGCAGGGTCTAGTGCAAGATAAAAATGCAGGGTCCCTTGCTCAAAAATTATTTGAATTTCAAGATGGCAACAGCAGAACATTAAAGTGTGTTGCCCTGCTGAGCCTGGGGTCCTGCACCACTTTTCAGTTTGCCCTCCCAGGGAGCCAGCTTCAACTTTAAGTTACAAATCTCCCACAAAATCTGGTGAGGGGTGTTGGTGGAAATCATCCTTGTGGTGAAAAGCATTTATTTGAAGATACTAGGGGATGGATCAGGGAAAAAACAAGTGGAATAGGGGCAAACTGTAAGTTGACTTAGAAAACCCAATTTCCTCATTTCTCTCTTTTATTTTCAGGTGGCAAACATTTCCCTTCCCTCTACTGTGTAGATACACTATCAGCCTCTTTGTACCCTATTCCAGTGATGCATGGCTTTTACGGGACCATCTTCCTAAGAGCTAAACTAGACTAGTGTGAATCCAACAGATGCTACCCCTTCCACCTGGTTCTCAGGGGGAATCAGGTAGCTAAGAAATGCTGTGCTAGGTACTCAAAGTGCCCATAATTGGAACCATCCTACCTATTTTCCAGTTCTTTCAAATACCCATTTTCTGGGCTGGTTTTCCCCCCAGATGATTATGACCCTGTTTTTTGCATCTCTGTTTTAATTTGGTTATTGATCCATTGATTATTTAGGAGCATGTTGTTAAGTCTCCATGTGTTTGCAGGCTTTTTTGTTCACTTTGCATAATTTATTTCTAGTTTCATATCTTTGTGGTCTGAGAAGCTGGCTGGCACAATTTCAGTCTTTTTGAATTTACTGAGGCTGTTTTTGTGGTCTACCATGTGATCTATTCTGGAAAATGTTCCATTTACACTTGAGAAGAATGTGTATCCTGCTGCTTTTGGGTGGAGTGTTCTGTAGATGTTTGTTAAGTCCATCTGTTCTAATGCAGTGTTCAGTGCCTCTGTCTCCTTACTTATTTTCTGCCTGGTTGATCTGTCCTTTGGAGTGAGTGGTGTGTTGAAGTCTCCTAAAATGAACGCATTGCATTCTATTTCCCCCTTTAATTCTGTTAGTATTTGTTTCACATATTTGGGTGCTCCTCTGTTGGGTGCATATATATTTATAATAGTTAAATCCTCTTGTTGGACTGACCCCTTTATCATTATGTAATGTCCTTCTTTGTCTCTTATTACTTTCTTTGTTTTGAAATCATTTTGTCTGATATAAGTATTGCTACTCCTCCTTTTTCCTCCCTGTTGTTTGCATGAAATATCTTTTTCCATCCCTTCACTTTTAGTCTGTGTATGTCTTTGGGTTTGAAGTGAGTCTCTTGTAGGCAGCATATAGATGGGTCTTGTTTTTTTATCCATTCAGTGACTTTATGTCTTTTGATTGGTGCATTCAGTCCATTTACATTTAGCATGATTATTGATAGATATGTACTTACTGCCATTGCAAGCTTTAGATTCAATGGTTACTAAAGGTTTAAGCACAGCTTCCTTACTATCTAACAGTCTCTAACCCACTTATTACACTATTTCAAACACAATGTAAAGGTTATTTTTTTCTCTTCTTCTTCCTCCTCCACTCTTTATATGTTAGGTGTCATATTCTGTATCCCTTTG